GCACCATCTTAAATTAGAGATTTTAAGCTTTAAAAAGTGCTCTCATAAAGTTTCAATATCACGTTTACAACTATAGTTTTTGATCTATAAAGTATGGCCTAAAAAGTCAAATTTGTGATTTTTTAAAATTATTGAATATGTTGGGGTCAATATTTTTCAAATTAAATTTTTAAGATTTTTTCCATATCGCTCACTGTTTCAATCGTCATTTGAAGAGTAATCTGTGAAAGCTACAGATATTTATTTTAAAAATTAAAAGAATGACAGCTATTTTATTATTATTGTACAAAATTATAGAATGACGTAACTTTGTATACGTACTAATCGTACTATACATATATATTTTTTTTTTCTCTAGTTTAAAGACATAAAATTTTGATAGCCCGACGACTCTTCTTTCATCTACATTTTTGTGAGGTCGATTTGATAAATTAAATCAAGTTATAACAAATTTAGTGTAGCGCGCTCGAGGCCGCGCGCACTTCGAGAGCTATACTTGGGGTCCGCCCGTCTCATTTTTCGTACGTTAGAAAAAAAATTCTACAGGCCTCAATTCGCATTTTAGAAAAAAACTTTATTAACATTTTATATGTAAAATTTCCTGTTCTTTCGAATGGCGCAGTTAATTTTTTTTTTAATTATATTTTTTTATATATATTTTGCAAAATCTGTAATTTTGCAACTAATTTGTTAAATAAATAATTAAGCGTACACTCTACAGTTGGTAACTTTTTATATGTTGTTTCTGACAACTTTACAAAGCGAAAAATAAAAAGTTCTCTCTTCCCGTAATTTTTGTGAAGTCAAAATCAATCTTGACTCCACTAATTATATATTTCGAATAATTACTATCCATGTCCTTCCAGTAAGTATTTATTAAAATTGTCCCCCAGTATGCAAAAGAAACATATCACATCTTATGTTGGAACAAACCAGCAAAAAAATTCTGCCAGAGTGTGAACGTAGTTGTCTACCTGAAGATTAATAGAGGTTGAACGTGAAAAAATTATTAGTAGACCTTTTACTGCACTTTATGACTGGGAAGGGTATGTAGAATGATATTATCAAAAAAGTAACTCGAAAGAAGTGACGCTAAGTTGGCAAATTGCAAATAAGTGACAGATTTACTTGTTTTTTTCTGCACAGGAAAATCTAGTCGACCTATCGGAAAATTACTTATAGGTATTAAAGAATATGGCACGCAATGCGGTTAAATAACCGTCAATATCAAAATATGTTTTTTATTCAAGGTTTTATTCAATACTTTTATTTTGAGAGATAGGCCATTTTTACACTAGCCGACACGACACCGGCACGACAACGACAACGATGTCGGTGGATGCGTAATCTCATATACATAAATATATGGTCATGTTTTCATACTCGCCGATATATAGGTATCGTGTCGTGACAGGCTACTTCACTCGTGTCATCGCTGATTTTGTGTCGGTATCGGTGCCGGGCTGATGTCGTGCCGGTGTCGGTGTCGGTGTCGGTATACCTATCTGAAAACGCCCTAACGAGAGAGATAAAGGGGTGTCTTCCACAGACCACGAAGTTTTCTAATTAAATACGGCCTCTCGAATCGCCAATACCACTAGCGCGCGTTTTAATGATAAATTTTGATGTTCCCAATTAAACCAGACATAAATTTGAAAATCCCATATGATCTGAGTGTTTATTTTATACAGGGTGTTTCATGATGATGTGCAAATATTTTAAGGAGGTGTTTAGAAAGTAATTTTCGAGGGGGGGGGAAGGGGTCGGTACTTCCAATATATTTTTTTGATTTGAGCCCCCTGAGATAATATTCAAATCTCAAAATGGTCGAAAAAATTAGCTTTTATTTTTTTCACGAAAACGATTAATCTCAAAAATTTGAATTTTGGTACACATTAACAACTAGTAGAATTATATTTTTTGGTAGTCTTTTTTTTCTGGTTTGTCTTTGAATGAAAGAAATTAGAACCCTTTGGTTTTATTTCACTTGCAGCTTTTTTCTACGTTAGCCAATTCCAACAGGAAAAATAGTTTTTAATACTACTTACATTTCATTTACAAACCTTTTTTATTTTTCCCATTTTTTCGTATACTTAATGGTTTACGAGCAAAAAAATAAATTATTTTTCCTTGCCGATTAGGAAGTACACATAATTAGTATAACAGTTTAACAGTTATCAAAAACGATCGTCATTTTTAACATGCTTTTTGCATAAATTTTTTTTTTATTAATAGGAAAATCTAAGCAAATATGAACTAAAAATTTAATAAAAAAAAATAAAATAAAAATTTTTCGGCCCTTTTGAGATTTGAATATTTTCTCAGGAGGGGGCCCCTAAAATTACTTTTTAAACACCTCCTTAAAATATTTGCACATCATTATGAAACACCCTGTTATATGTAACAAGGTATATCTACTTATTACTTTGAACCTTTTTTAACTTACTTGTCATAATTTGATTCTAAAATTTTGATTTGTGGTTTTATTTCAGAAACTTCTTCGGCAGTATTTGCTATTTCCTTGTTTAATCGAGCACATTCCTCTTTCAATTTTTCTATTGCTTCATTGTTACCTAAAAATTATAAATTCATGAAGAATTTATTATTCATGGAGATTTTTTTTATTTTATTTAAATTATGTATGGATCATCAGTAGTATAAAGAATGAAAATACAAGATAGTAACTATCTTCCACGATACATGATACGATTCGGTATGACACAGTACAACAATCTGTTCTTTTTCTCAATTACCATAACTAGTTAATCCTACAGTAATTATCTAAATTTAGATTTTCCAAGAAATAAATAAATTTTGATATTTTTTTGGTTAAAAATCAGAATTAACTCCTGACTCATCCCATATTTTCATGTAAATTTTGATCAAGAGACACCCAATATAAGTTTTGGAGACTACTTCGATTTGAATTTTGAAAATTTGGGACCTGGTGGTTTTGGAGGTTTTATTTAAAAAGAGTTTAAATAAAATAATGCCATTGTTGTAGTACTTCCGGTTATACCGGTAGTCGCCACCTATTTGCTTATTATAAATGGAACATCCTATATATTTTTGCATATTTGGATTCTACGCGTAATTTTAGGGGAATTTTATAAAGCTTCCCTATATTCATCTCTAATGGTCTAATGGTCTTCGACCTATTTCAATTTCATATTTATTGTCGCATTTGATTGACCGAACCGCCAAAACTTGGTTTTTCTAAATTATACACCCCGTATATTTAATCAAAATCTGTTGTAAAAATTTACTCTATATCTATCTATATTACATCTCCATATACCTATCTTTTAATTTTTCTGTTTTGACGGTTTTTGTGATAAATAAAATGATCCATTTTCTTGCGAGGATGGCTATGAAATTGCTAGCAAATTTAAAAAATCAAATTAACCAACCATAACCAACCATAAGTCATCATTTGCTGTTAATGTGACAGTGGTACCTACTTACAATTAGTTAAACACTGATTTGAAAATAATGGAAAACGGTACTTATTCAAATGCTGATATTATAACTGAAAACAGCAATGATGTTGTAAAAAAGTGAAAAACTTTAATAATACGATGATAATGAAAATATAATAAACACGTTTTATAAACATAAATAAATAATTATTTGTATCTATATCTTTTTCTATATTCTATGCATACAATAAATAAATTACATATTAAATAAAAATTTCAAGATTTTATTTAAACATTATTACCAATTATTAAAACTAATACCTTTTAACAGTGGATTATGTTCCTATATCCTACCATCGATATTACTATTTACATGAATATACAGTATAACAAATGTGAGAAATTTTAAGTAGTCGTAATAGACAGAAAAGGGCTTTATAATAATCTTGATAATTGAATTCCTCTCATTTTGCTTTATCGATTAAAAAAAAATCATCAAAATCGGAGCCATAGAAGCCGAGATATTGAACGCCGAAGCGCGCGCGCTTTTTTTTAGAACGCGCGATTTCAATTTCTATAATTCATCCCCTCCCCTCGGTTTTGCGGCACAAATGGTCGGCTTGACAATATTCATTGAATTTTCATAAAAAAGCACACGTGCGATCATATTTATAAAAACACATACGGAAAGTTCTTGAAAAAACCTACCAAATTCAATTTTTATTGTTGTTACATTATACATAGTTTTGCAGCAAGCGCTTGTTGACTTTGACACTCTATATCTCGGAACTTATAGGACCGATTTGAACGTTCTTTTTTTCAAGTTAAGCGTCTTTCCGAGAACTGTTTTTTAGTACTTTGGTATATTTTCCAACCCGCAAAACCGCTTCACGAAAGTATTTGTTTATAAAGTCAAAATTTTTCTAACTTTTAAATTCGCTCCAAAAATTATTCAAAAAAAGAAAATTGATATTCTAACGATTCTATATGATTGTTACGGGGTCTAAGAATGTGCAAAAAAATCAGCGCCAATTAAAATGCCTAACTTTAACCCCAGCACTCACGTAAAAAAATAACGACATTTCGTGCTGAAATTTAGTAACAAATTGTCTCACACCAATACTATCAGACCGATTTGGATCGGGTTTTGGAATTTCGTTTTATAATCATTTAAAGTACTTACATCTACATTTTTTAGTAGAATTGGACAATTTCTTGCCCGTCAGTTTGACGCTTCCAAATTACCTCGATTTTCATCACTTTCTTACGTAGTTTTGACTATTTAGCAATAAAAATATGATATGCGCAGGTATCAAAACAATTCTATCTTGTAGCAAATTTCATAACAAACAATTTCATCAGTAATAGTAACTACATATTTAAGAAGTTATGTTGGAAAATGTTAGAAAAAACACGTCATTTTTGAGTATTTTTGCATTTTTAATTTTTTCTGCAAAAAGCACAACTTTTTTTCTTGGCGCAACCTTATATTTTCATTGTATATATTATTTTCGACCGATTTTTACTAATATCCAAGTTACGTCAAGCAACAGCCATATCTCGAAGGTTTTGAGCTTAATTCTCTTGGACTATTAATAATTGCGACATATTGTAGACAGGAGAATTAATTAGCATATTAGTTTTAGGTATAGATATAATATAGTATACTATGGATGGAATGTAGAGAAAGAGGGCACCGGACAAATTTTTTAATTATATTAGATACATCACGTTTTTTCAACCTTTATTTTATTTAGGTACTAATAAAATTCAGCTTAGTTTAAAATATAACTTCAAAATTTAACTTATAACGATGGCATAACATGGATAATTCAAAATATAGATTCTTTTTTACTTACATTTTGTACCAGCTTGAGATTCCCATAGCACTTGGTCATTTTCAGTTACAAATATATTTATTTTATTCAGAGATTGTATTATATCGCCTGACATTTTTATTATTTTAATGAATATATTTAGCAAAAGATTTTAGTGCCTAACACTCATAGATTTGACAGTTTGCATCAGCACGCGTACTTGCGAAATAAAATTAAAATCACGTCACATGTGCTGTTTTCTTTTACTCATGATTTCGGAATCATAACGCGTTACGATCCGAAATCTAGCAATCTGATTGGTTTCCATAGGATCGTATCACTTTATGAAAATCATGAGTAAAAGAAAAGGGCTATGATTTATTACTTCATTTACGAGACCAATTTTATGCTCTGCCAATGCGCTAATTGCCAAACTGGCCAAAATCAGTGGTATCTGGTTATTTTATGTTTGCATCCAGCCTAAATATGTATTTATTTTTATAATGTTTTTTTTACAAAACAGCAGTCAATTTTTATTTTCTTTTTATTGATCTTCAAAACTAAATTTGATTTATTGTTTCTGTTAGTTTTGGATTTGTAATACTTATAGGTATTGGTATTTCATTTTATATTTTCTATTTACTCTTCCTGAAGGTATCGCCATTTTTAAATAAAAACAAAATATTTGCGGGTGTTTGACAATGATAAATATGATGTCAAAATTGATAATACGCTTCGCGCTGGCATCAAAATGAATATTTCTTGAGAGTCAGCGAATTATTCTGTCTGTTAGAAACCGATTCCCAACCCCAACATTTAAATTAGTTCTGCGAACGCCAAACTTTCAATCAACGAATCAACAATTTCCAGTTTTGTTGTACGAACCAGGGAGACTAGAACGAACACTCCGAACGCTTTTAACAAAATGCGCATGCATCACTGTGTTTGCGTCAGACATTTGCTTCTGTTTCTGATTCTGACGGCTGTGTGTGTATTTACATGTTTTGTGGCTGTGTGTACGAATAAACCCATACCCACAAAACATATAATACACCCATACCTATAAGAGCAGAAGAGTAACTATATAAGAGGCTTTTATTGGATAGGGCGGATCACAGTATACTAATCAATCAGTAGGGAATCTTAAATGATTTATGAATGAATTCCGTATGGCAATTTTTAAATACCCCCACCCTAGGAAAAGTCGCTAAGAATATGGCGGATCCTTCGAGCATATACTACTGGAGGAATGCCATTGCGAAAATTGTGGCTGAGTGTGCGAGAGAAACACACAGTACCTCAGTACATGCTGTCTCACTCTAGCACGTCACGATGAAATGAATGCTCCAACCGCGGCGTGCTAGAGTGAGACAGCATGTCTGAGATACTGTCTATCTCTCAGCCACACTTTTCGCAATGGCATGCTACCTCTAGTAGTGTAGTAAACATAATCTGTCCTTTTTCCTCCTGGTTTTAATACTTTTATTATTATACATTAATTTCTGATTAATTATTATAACCCGAGGTAATATTGTTACTATGTAGTAGTGTTACACGTAAATTGAGTTTTTTTTTTATTAAGAGAAGTTTACATTTTTTGGTTAAATACAGGTTTAGTTATTTGAATTCCAGCAGAAATAATTTAGATTAGATTATATCGGTCTGAATTTTATAAATTTTGTTCAAAAACTTACGAAAGCGTATTTATTTTCTAAACATATTTTAAAATGTAAGTTTACTATAATTTTTATTTCATTATTAACTATTTACTGGGTATAGTATTACTTATAAATAAATAATCACTAATAAAATACACAAGAACAAGATAACTAAACTAAACAACTACTCGACCAACATCATAAAATAAGGTTTTTAATGCATAAAGCTGAGATATAAGAAGGTTTAAGTGAGGTTAGTTACATATACAATAATGAAAACATACTAGATTTATGAATGAAAATATGAGAACGGAAATCGTAATAACTGTCAGTCGCTAACAAAATGGTGGAAATATGGAAGACGCGGGAAACGTAACTTTCCCTACTGATTGATTAGTATACTGTGCT